GGTGAGGATGGGGTTGAGGGGAAGGTCACAGGGCGAGGCCTTGAATTGTGGATTTTTGTCTTTTTTCCTTTCTTTCTTTTTTGCGTAATTATTGCAATTTTTAAAATTTTATCATTTATTTATTTATTTATTTATCTTTTATAACTTTACTATTATTATAATTTTTCATTTCATTACTGGTTGTTACTTTGTTTAAAGTGCAATTTTACTATGTTTACCTGAGTTTACGTTGAAGGTTTTCCGTAACTCTTCTCTCCATCTCCTCCAGACACCTCGGAAGCCACAAAGGCTTCGCAAGATACAGACACCAAGAAGAGTAGTGAGAAAGGAGATGAAGACGATGATGATGATGAGGTAATTATCAGTACTTTTTTTCACAAATTTGCATCATAAGGCTTTTTGAATTTTGTCAGGAGGATAAGAAATTCCTTAGTTAAAGATTTCCAGCAGGTAAGTCTATAAAGCTATTGTGGTAAACTTGTTACTTTTCATCATTGCTGGAATGAATACAGCCAAGTGGTGCATGTTATACCTCAACTTACGTACTCTTTAGAGTACTAGATATTTGAAACAGGAAAACAATCTCATGAGTAGCTGCTCATTCCATCCTATATGTTTGTCATATGACATCTCTTCTCTTTCTCTAGGAATCGGAGAGCGAAGAGTCTGAAGAGGAGCACCAGACGGAGGCGGAGAGGCGAAAAGCAAGAGCTGTGGCCAGAATAGCCAAGCGAAAGGTTGAGAGCGAGAAAAAATTGGACCCAGCCCACCTCAGAGCTCCTGTGGTGAGCAATGGACTATTCTGTGAAAGACATTGTGTGTATGTGTGTGTGTCTGTGAAGAATAGATGTGCTATGGACGTTTGTTTTGTGTTTTGTTCTCTTACAGTGAATTTTGAGTTTTTTAGTTGGAGAGCGGCAGAGTTGCTTTGACGCATTACAAGAACATGATTTTTTTTTTGTCTGATGTTGGATAGTTTTTAGGCTAAACTTTTTTTACAGTGTACTTGGTGACTGACCCATTGCCTTCAGCTACCTCTTAATATTAAGTGTTATATTTGAATCGTATGTAATGTAATCACCCTTTGTTATCCCTCTACCCTCTGCCCCCAGGTGTGTGTCCTTGGCCACGTCGATCACGGAAAGACCAAGATTCTAGACAAGTTCAGAAGGACAAATGTACAGGAGGGTGAAGTGGGTGGCATCACACAGCAGATCGGAGCCACCAATGTACCCATAGAAGCTATTCAGAGGCAGACGCATATGATCAAGGATGTAAGCAGGATTTCTCCAGTGTTTTTGATTTGTTATTTATTTATTTAACTTTTTTTCCTTTTTTCATTCTGTGTGGAGAGCTTATCTAGTGGTGTAGCTGTAGTTCCATTGTCCTTATGATTAACTATTAAACCTTAAGTGAACGATCACTTTACAGCTCTTTATCAGTTGAGAATTTAACGAGCATCTACAGTGCAAGATTTATGCTTTATTTTCCATTTCCTCTTCCTCCTTTTAGTTCAATTTGGACACCATCAAGTTCCCCGGCTTGTTGATCATTGACACCCCAGGTCACGAGTCCTTCAGCAACCTCCGTTCGCGTGGCTCCTCCCTCTGCGACATTGCTGTCCTGGTGGTGGACATCACGCAGGGCCTCGAGCCACAGACGATAGAGTCCATCAACTTGCTCAAGAAGAAAAAGACACCCTTCGTTGTAGCACTTAATAAGGTGGACAGGTGAGGATACTGGTATTGGCCCTTTTTGTGTGTGTGTGTGTGTGTGTGTTTTGTTTTTTTGTTTTTTTGTTTTTTTTGTTTCCGCCTATTTTCCATCCCCTAGTGTCCCTTAATGTCCTCCTTGCCTCTCATGATGCACAGGGTCTTGGCACCTTATTATCAGAAGTCAGAATGGTCTGTGTCGGTTGTGTATGGCAATACCAGAAGGGGAGGGAATGTGATAATGAAAGAAAACATGTGAGAAAAGAGAAGTTCAGCTATTGAAAAGAGTGTGGGTTTGTATGCTGCTGTGTGCTGTCAAACTTTATGTACATTCTTGACATACTCCTTTTTTTATCTTCGAATCTAATGACATTTTCTCCCTCCATCCCCATTTCAGAGTGTTCGAGTGGGACTCCCATCCGTCAAAAGACATCCGCGAAATCATAAAGTCCCAGAGCACGGCCTCCAAAAACGATTTTGACCGCAGAACCCAGGAGATTATTCAAGCACTCAATATTCAGGTGAGTTCTGTTGAATTTTGTTTTTTTGTTGAAGTTTTATCTCTGGATGTCTCAAGTTTGAAATAGATAGTAAGTGTGTGATTTTAAACATGCCATTGCTTTTCTGTATTTTTGTTTAAGAGTTTTGTTTCTATTGCTCATGATCTAGAAGCATGTGTATATATATGTAAATTCATTGTCAATGCTGATTTATAGCATTAATATGTATACAGGATCTTCACTCTCTTATTACCAGGTTTAGTTATTACCATGTCTAGCTATAATTATATACTTTGAATGTTATGTGTTGCTGCAGAACCTTAAATAAGCAACAGAGATTTGATACATACCTTAAATTTTTTTCAAGGAAAAAGCCTTGGTTTATAGAACTACAGAAAACTTAAGATGGATATATACAAGTAATTTCATTTTATCTGTACCATCATATTATTGTTTCCATTATTAACATCATTTTTGTAATTATGATGATTATTATTATTGCTCTTTTTACCCTTGTTATTATGACAACTACTACCCTTGCCTTCTCTTTTTGCAGGGCTTAAATGCAGCTCTCTTCTGGGAGAACCCTGACCCCCGCTCATACGTGTCCCTAGTCCCGACCAGTGCCATCTCGGGCGATGGAATGGGCAACCTCATCGCCATGGTCTGCAACCTGTGCCAGAAACGACTCAGTAAGAGACTGATGTTCACGGAAGAATTGCAGGTGAGTTGTTGGTGTTCAGTATGTTGTGATCTGTATTATATTGCTTTTTTTTCTTTCTTTATCCCTGTATGATGATGGGATAGGAATTACATTAGTACAATATTAGTACAAAGGAGTTCACACAGCCTTATTTCGTAACATATACACATAGTCATGCATATAAAGATTATATAAATTTAGGAACACTGCATAGACTGACAGAGGAAACTCGTTTATACATTTCATTTCATTGTGTGCGATCATTTAGTGCGGAGATTCATACACTTTCATCCCTCCTTGCAGTGTACCGTCCTGGAAGTCAAGACGATTCAGGGTCACGGAACGACCATAGATGTCATCCTAATTAATGGTAGACTGAGAGAAGGAGACACAATTATCTTAGCAGGCACTGAGGGTCCTATTGTCACTCAGATACGGTAAGAGAGCGAGGAAAAGGTACCTTTTCATCTTTTTAGTGTTATTTTTACTTGATTTCAGTGACTTAACATTTTTGGATTTTTCTTTTAAAAATAAAGCATCAACAGGCTGTTATAGGAGACTACCATTTTCTTTTATTTTCTTGTTCTTTTAATATGAATTCATAGATCTGTACAACACAAACCTCCTCCCACAGATCTCTCCTTCTTCCCAAACCCCTCAAGGAGATCCGCGTCAAAGGGCAGTACGATGAATTCAAGGAGGTAAAAGCTGCTCAGGGAGTCAAAATTGCTGCCAGGGAGCTCGAGAAAGCCATCGCTGGCCTCAACCTTCAGGTGTCGTATCACGAGGACGAGGTCGAGCTGTTGAAAGAAGAGGTCGACAAGGAGTTCAAGGCAGCTATGAGGTCAATTAAGGTGAGCAGATCTGAGTTGCAAAAATTATTTACTCCTTTGTTACTCTTTCTTTCTTTCCCTTTCTCTTTCTTACCATCCTCTTCCATTTCCTTCTTTCTTGTCTCCTCCATTCTCTTGTCCTACACCAATCCTCCTCCTCCTCCCTCCTCCTCCTCCTTTGAGTGGAGATCTGTGTCTGCAATCAGACCATGGTTATGGTAAGCATTATGATGAGAGGCCTGTGTAATGCTGTAGTGCAATGCTACCTTTGATATTTTCATGGCTATGATTGCCCATATCAATGGCATATACTTATAGGAATGTTGTTTTTAGTCTTGATAAGAGAGTCTCTGTAATCTGTCATGTTTTCTATATCCCTATGATTAAAAGAGTACGTGAACTGTGTCTTATTATTCAATGTATACATTCTATTTACCTGATAATTTCCTTCCCCCAATCTTGAACCTCACAGGTGAAGGAGCGTGGAGTGTATGTCCAGGCTTCAACCCTGGGTGCCTTGGAGGCTCTGCTAGAGTTCTTCAAGACCAACAATGTGCCTTATTCGGGGATCCGTGTGGGTCCTGTGGTGAAGAGGGATGTGATGCGTGCGGCTGCCATGCTGGAGCATGACCCCATGTATGCTGTCATCCTGGCCTTCGATGTTAAGGTGGAGAAGGATGCGCAGGAGCTGGCTGATAAGGTAAGGGAATCAGACAAGATTTTTTAAAAATTTATTTATGTATCTGTTGTGCACCTGTTAGCATTTTAAGTGTATTCAGCACCCCTTTCCCATGTTTTTTATTCATAAAAAAAAAGATAGGTTTACTTTAAAAATAAATGTTCAGTATGGAGTCAGGAATTGCATTGAATAACATATTTAAGTTTCTTAGATTTTGTCTCATAACTACGTATTTATTAACCATGATTTCTTATCGAACTTTGTACACCACTTTCATGCATTTCCTCTCTCCTCTCTCTGCCTTCCAGGAAGGAGTAAAGATCTTCTTTGAGGAGACTATATACCACTTGGGTGATCGTTACGTCGAATACCTTAAGGACTACAAGAAGAAGAAGCAGGACGAGTTTAAGCATGTAGCTGTCTTCCCTTCACGACTAAAGATTATTCCTACGGTGAGTTGGTTTCGGAAAGATGCCTGACCTCGCTTTAGGAACTGGGTTAGAGATGAGGAGAGGTTATTGTGTGGGATGTCTTTTTTTTTTTTTTTTTTTTCCCCCCTTAAGTTAGCTTTTAGATATCTTTTTATTCTTCTAGAATATGTTGAAGTGGTTAGGTTTATAAATTTTTTGTTTATCATTTACAAGGTTTATGTTTTTTATTTTATTGCAATTTATTTCCAGGTTTGAGAATCAATTATTTGATTTACGTTACCTTGATGAAATTTAACCCATGACTGTGTTTTATATGTAGCAATATGTCTGATGATTTTATGTAAACTGTCTAAAGCTGGGGCTGCTTTTCCACCTCTTTTCAGCAATGTCTGAATGCAATTGATTGATTTCTGTGCTTTTTCTGTGTATGTGTAGACCCTTTTGTTTTCATACCCAAGGGGTTAACTAAAGTATTTCAAATTTGTTATAGCACTGTGCAGTTTTTATTTGACACATGATAGTTGTGTATATACAATTTTTTTGTGTTTAAATTTATGATTTTGAAGCCTCAAAAAAGGACATCGACAATAGTGTTTTTGATTGATTGATGGCATTATATTTGAGTTAAATTTTTGGACCCATATAGCTTCTAGGGAATTGTTAGGAATAACTGAAGCATGTTTATTTTTATTTTTCTCTATTATAACTCTTAATGATTCTTCCACAGGCTATATTTAACAAGCGCGACCCCATTGTGCTTGGTGTAACGGTTGACGCTGGAGTATTAAGAACGGGGACGCCCTTGTGTGTGCCTAGTAAAGAGGTAGGGCATTGGGGTCTCTTTTAGCGACTCTGAAAACGTTGATGGCATTGGCCTTGTGTATGATAAGTGTCATTTTTGTGTTTGCTGAGTTATCAGTTTGATAAAGAAAATGGTTATTTAAGTGGTTTAAGAGTTCTTCGTGCTCTTGATTCACATAATTGTAAGACATTCTTTCTGTTCTGATTGATTTTACCAAAAGATAACTTGCCCCTTTAGAAGCAGCCTTCTATCAGAAAACTGCAAAACAAGAAAAACTGTAAAAGGAATATAAATAGTTTTATCTTTCAGAATTTTAGAAATAAACTTACTTTCCACTTCTTTCTTGTCACAGTTTGTGGAGATAGGAGTGGTGACTTCAATGGAGTACGACCACAAGAACGTAGACCTGGCCAAGAAGGGAGTAGACGTGTGCATCAAGATCGAGCCTCTTCCCGGCCACACCCCCAAACTATTTGGCCGCCACTTCGATCACGAGGACATGCTTGTGAGCAAGATCTCGCGCGAGTCAATTAATGCGTGCAAGGACTACTTTAGGGATGATCTTAGTAAAACAGACTGGAAACTCATGGCAGAACTGAAAAAAGAGTTCCAGATTTTATAAGGGGCTGTGATTAGCCTTGTTTTTTAGCCATGATAATCAGATATTTATGAAATTTAGATTTTTTTTTTTTTTTTTTTTTTTTTCTTTTTTTTCACCTTTTTTTATCTGATGCTTATTTTCTTTTCTATTTTAATGATTTTGTAAGAACTAGGATATGTAAATTATATAAAAAGAAATGTCAGGAAAAAAAAAATATGAAAATGAGGAAAAGCAAACAAAACAAGTACTGCTACAGAACACCCAAAACGATATATTATGCTAAAAGTCGCTCGCTATAACCAGTGTGCATTGTCAGTGTGACTCAGTTGTGCTTCTTGAGATCATGCAAGACCAACGTTCATGCCAGGAATGACGAGATGAGCTGGGGAGGTGCGCTCAAACCGACGATCGAGCTGGAATTCACAGGCAGAAGGAAGACACGCGTGGTCGTCGTACGTCTGGGCAGAAGTGCAAAATGCTGTCTTGTATTTGTGTTGAAAACTCAGCCATTTGGTTGATGGTTGGCTGTTTTTTACCGATGGCATCTCCGAGCCGAGTAAAGTGCTTCGGGGTTGTCGTATGTATTTCAGTGATATGTATTAAATGGACTGCATGTTTTATGGGTATAATTCTCGAAAGGAAAATCACTCAACGGCCGCGAAAAAGAACGTTGGATATATTTTAGAAGATGGGAATATTTCTGATATCCTATACCATACAGATGAAATATTTATACTTAGTGCAGTAATCAATTTGCTTACAAGCTGTTAAGGCTTTACCTTAAAGGCATGAATTATTCAAATATGGCTGTGGATTTATTTTTGGTTTTTGGTTACCCAGTGTATATGTATATTTTTATCCTTTTTTATATGCCTCTTTAGGGGGGAGCAGGGGAGGGTAGTTCCAAGTTTTACACTGATTAGATTTTCTGAATTGCGGGTGATCTCTCTGACCCTTAGTCTCGTCTGTTTCAGTGAAACGGTCTCATTTCATTCATTAAGTTGGAAATATCTGTGATTTAAGGTTTTCAAATAGGAAGAAAATTCACCTCGCGATGACATTACTTCTTGTGCAAAGTTGCAGACACATAATTTTTTTCCCCCTGCCAAATTCCTCCAATCCTCATATATATAACTCAACGTCATTTTGTACAGCTCCACCTTGTTCAATAAAATGTGACTAATTCCTAGGTTCGTGTGTATTCAGAATCCTGTAAATGCTTTTTAACGCTTGTATATGTTTGCTTTGTGTGACAAGTCCCTTGTCTTGGTTTACGTATATTTGCTTGCTCACTTTCTCTGTCATTCTTTCTCTCTCACTTTTTTTCTTTCACTCTTTGTCTCTTTCTAATTCTCTATCCTTTTTTCTGCTCTTTTCTTTCTCTCTTTCTGATTTTCTATCCTCTTTTCGCCTTTTCTCATTCTTTCTTCCTTTTTCTCTCTCTCTCTTCCTTTTTCTCTTCTCTCTTGCTTTTCTCTTTGTCTCTTCTTTTTATCTGTCCTTCCTTTTTCCTCTTTCTCTCTTCCCCCCCCCTCTCTCTCTCTCTCCTCTCTCTCTTCTCCTCTCTCTCTCTCTCCTCTCTCTCTCTCTCTCTCTCTCTCTCCTCTTCTCTCTCTTCTCTCTCTCCCCTCCCCCTCTCTCTCTCTCTCTCTCCTTCCTTCCTTCCTTCCCTCCCTCCCTCTGTCACTCATTCTTTTTCTTTTATTTCTCTCGGTCTCTCTCTCTCATATCTGTATTTATGTACACATGAATTCATACATGTACTGTGCATACTGTGTCCATATTTTACACAAGTAAGTCAAATTTTTAAAATAATTATTTTTATTATTATTTGAAGCATTGTAAAGTTTGGACTATTCTTTTATTCTTCGTCTGGGGAAATCTCCGGTGATATAGGAAACAGGAAATTGAAAAGGATGAGCAGTATTGTTTGGTAAGTTTTAAAAGACCGCCAGCGTGTTGTTTTGTTAAGACGCCTGCTCTCCGTTCACAAGGTCAGACTAGCGCAATGGTAAGGAACATTCTCATGACCTTGGCTTCTATTTCTGCTGCTTGTTTTTTGCAGTCGGTTCTCTAATTGAAAGAAAACAGATATATATATAACGAATATATTTTCTAAGGATAATGATTCAGATAGTCAGGAAGAAAAGTGTGAATATTCTGGATATCTTTCTCATCATTTCAACCTGTGCCGAGTCTATGTTCAATTTCCAGACAGTTTACAAACTAATACTCCAGCTGTTGTGTTCACAGGCAAAGCTTTTGAAAGACTGTGTGGCCATCGCTACAAGCTTTTCTCTCTCCATGTTTTTACTCTTGTATATGACTGTAAAAAATGGTGAAAAAGAAAAAAAAAAAGTAAAGTATCCAGTTGTTTATACAAACTATCATTTGTATGTTGTTTACATAGGGAAATTAAGAAGAGGCTTCCAGATTTTATTTAACACATATTGGTGTGTAAATAGGAATGTATATGGCATGTTCATCGTACGTGAAACGCAAACCAGTATAGTTACTTTTATTCCACTGAATTTCCTGTTATTTATTTATAGTTTTTATCTGGCCTTTCTGGTGAATAATGAAGTACAGATTGTGAATTGTTTTATCATTCCCTTTTTTATTGTATAACCTTTTTTTATTTTAAGTCAAAGCCATGAAAACCAACCCACAAAAAAGTCCTGATTCATTTCCTGTCCTGAGGACTATTTTTTTTTTTTTCTTCTTTTTTTCTGATCTCTGGAAGCATTATTAGTCTCACTGGTGTAATGTATACCAAATGATTTTGTCCGAAATAAAAGGGAGAAGGAATCGATGCTTCTTTTTTATTCTCCGTTTGCTATTTATTACGAGGCTTTCTCACGTCCCATCTGATTGCTCGCTTCATTACTTACGTTATTTTTGGTTTGTTGTATTGTGTTTTCTGGCTACGTTTGCCCATTTTATGTGAATGATGCTTAGATTCTCACTATGATTCTGAAATAAGGTTCTGTTGGAGTTGAGCAGGTTTGTGACGTTTGATATGTGAAATTGGTCTTCATGGACGATTCCTGAAATGCAACAGCGAATGGGGGCCGCTGTACATATATATATATA